AGCTAGAAAGGGTATTCTATCAGGTGAAGAAGCAGCCGATCGTGCACAACCTGTACAGGAAGGGGCAGCAGAGGAGGCAGCAGAGCCACCGGCCGAGCGGCCACAGCGAGCAAAACCTAGGTGCAGCATGTGCGAATCAACAGAACACAATGCACGTACGTGCCCTAGGCGGCAGGCAGCTAGCTAGTATGTAGCTGCATCAAATATATTTGTTCGTGGTGGAGTAATTCGGAATATTTGGCCTCGGTAGCGTGGTTGGGTGGGCCACTAGCTTGTGCGGGCCACTAACTTGTGGATTACGTTACTGCGTATGGGTAGGCTTTGTAAGCCGTATCGCTGGTTCTAGCTGGTTCCAGCTGGTTCTGGTACAGCTTCTTACCAAGCATACCGTATTACTAAGAGGGCTAAATATAGGATACAAACACGTACTCCGTCACACCCCCCTAGCCCGAATAGTGGATAGAACCCCCTTTTTGCCGCTCAACATCCTCCATACAAAGATTGTCAAAAACTGATGCAATTGCATCATAAAACCCATCTTCCTGGAGTTCTTGTATGTTTATACAGTGCAATCAACCAGGCCTAGCTGATGCTGAAATGCCTTGATTCGATTAGCCGGCAATGGCTTTGTAAGGCCGTCTGCTAGCATTTCGTTTGTTCCGATATGCTGTAGGTCTATCTTCTGCTGCTGCACCTCTTGTTTAATATAGAGGTAGTGGAGATCCATATACTTTGTTCGGCCGTGGTGTGCATCGCTATGGGTAAGATTGATAGCCGGTAGGTTGTCGCCATAGAGCTGTATTAGATGTAGGTCATCTCCATCATACGATAGCTCTGTAAGTAGGTGCCGAATCCATGATAGATAGCCATTCTTCTTCGGCTGCTTCTAGCCAGTTCTTCTTTTGAACATGGTTTATTACTTCTTTCCAGTTCTTTAGTGGTGGAGGTAAACTAGAAGCTTTCGTGTGTATATTTGCCACCATAGCTAGGCCGTAGCATCGGTGTACACAATCGAGATAGGTGGCTACTAATGCGGCTGCATGTGCAGCTGCATATTTTCGTACGGGAATTCGAATTCGTTTTGTTCCGTCCGGTAATTAATAGGCTTGATTGACATCTGCAGCAATAGCTCCGTGCTTTAGGGCAGTGTCATCTATATCCCGTTTTTGTTTAATAGTGGCAGTAGGCCGTTCTGTAGGCTGTGATTCCTGGGTAGGTTGAGTTTCGATGGCCGGCTGAATTTGAGCTCGTAGCTCGGCTTGTATATCGTCTTCCTTAATTTCCGTTGGGTTATGCCCAGTTCCACCTAATTGTGGTAGTACAATCTCATCTTCCTCCGGCTCTGTATCAGATGCCTCTGGCTCTGTAACAGGTATAGGGGGAGCATACGGTGATGCCGCTGCACCCCCCGAATCTACTGCTCGTGCTATCGGTGCTTGTACTGTTGGCATTTCTGCACCCCCCGAATCGTCATCAGAAACGGGTTCCGTTGCATCGGGAGTAGGCTCCATTATGCTATTGAGTGGCGGCAGCACCTCTACTCCTAGCTTAACAAATTCAACGCTTGCGCTGCGTACAACGGTGGAATTGTCAAGCCGCATGAAATAGATGGAATCTCCATCAAAACCTATGAGTTTTCCGCGATGTGCTCTTGGTGCAAATTTCTCGCTTTGCACACGCCTTTCTTTAGCTATGTGCATATAGCCTACCTGGCCGAATGGCTGCAGGTGTGCTAGTTTTGGTGTGGCTGCCTCTGTGCTGTGGCCAAGTGCTTCTATAAAGGCTTGCTGTGGAGTTATTCTATTAAGCCGTGAGTGCACTGTTCGATTGTGTATATACACGTAGTATTCGGCAGCGCATGGCCATAGGTTTATAGGCAATGCAGCATCTAGCAGTAATGCCCGGGCGGCCGTTTCTGTGAGGTAATTTGAATTTTCGGCAACCCTATTTATATAAGCATTGTATGGCTCACTAAATTCAATCAGCGTGCCTTTGTCTTGTAGCTATGCTTTTGTGGCTTTGTTGTTGGCTATATCTTTGGCATTATCAAGCCTATAGCATCCTATAGTTATGCCGGCCTGGGTCTTCACTATTTGGTGGAATTGCCGGAGTTTCTGTTGGCCTTAATCTTTTGTTTTGTACGTATATATCTAGAATTTCCGTGTGGAGTCTTCTGTGCAGAGCAGCTAGTATTTATGGCCAGTAACTGCAGCCGGCTTAAGCGGCCCTACTACGTTAATGTGGACTTTTTCAAACAGCCGAGTGGAAAGCGACTTCGTACGGTGGCCAATTCGCTTCTTTGATTTTAATATGCGATATACCTCACAGTCGAATTTCTTTATATTCGTGATTTCCATGCCATGCGAGGCTTTTGCCAAGGCCTTAATAGAATCTACACCCGAATATGCCAGAATTTAATGCCATTCGGCCAAGCTGGCTTTCTTTACGGGGCCTGTATAGTCCTCGGCTCTAGCAGCAGCAAACGCTATTGCTCTATAGCCTGCTTGCTTGTTATTAGCTAGTAGGAACTAATTAAGTTCGTTTATTACCGGGACGTATGCGATCTTAGTATTGTTATTAAGCCGGCGAATTATATAGTGTCAACCGTGGTAGTATACACCCTTTCGGCGTATTAGGGTGTAAGAAATAACGTTAATAAACATGCTAGGCACGTATTATACGTTCGAGAACTCTAATTCTATTACAGAGCTATCCTGCTGTAGGACAGTAAGGCTAACAGTTCTATAGCCAAGAATTTTAACATTTGCGCCGCCTGTAGTTATAAGGTCGGCTCGGCTCTTATATATTATAAACCGGGTCCTATTATTGTATATATGCATAGTAGAGCCTGTGTTAAGAATCTAGGTCTTTTTTAATATTTAATTGCTTGCAAATAACATTAGTTTCTTACTAAGGCCGGCGTTGAGAGGTCTAGCAGATATTCCGTTCTCTCGCGGAAGCTTGATAGCTTTATCCGCTGCATGTATTTCAGCTTCGGCCGCTGTATACGGTTCGGCTGTGCTTGCTGCATATAATTTGGCCGTGCAGTGCAGCTTACTAGCTGCTATACAGAATTTCTTGTAAGTGGCCTTATTTTTGGATTCCTGCTCTTCTTCTTCTTTCTGTATAATAGCTGCATTAGCCTTTTTCGAAAAATCTCTCCACTATTCTGGCTGTAGTTCTGGGTGAATTTTCCAACACTTCTCGGGTCCGCCTTTATACTTTCTATTGCACTCTAAATATTTAGAGATGTTTAAATTAGTGGTGGTATCTGTGTTGTTTATTTTGGCAGCTGTAGTGGTGCTGGAGCCGTTTTAGCCTCCTCTAGCTTTGCCTGCACGGCCTCTGCCGTTTAAGGGTGCTTTATATACTGCTAGGACCTTCTCTTAATCCTTTACGATAGATTTATCGTATAATTCGTTAATAAGAGTATAAACTTTTAGTTTTTGCCCCTTTTAAACGAGCTCTCGTTGCCGCCGTGTAAATTCCGGGTTGTATACTTCTATAGCAATAAGGAATTGCAGTACAGCAATTGTTTAAGTTATTGTAAGGTTGTGCCTTTCTAGGTCTTTTAGATATATTAACTAATTGCCGCAAAAATCAACGATTTTTAATAAACTATTATAGCGGTAGTCTATAAACTATTTCCAACAGGAAATTATAGTTGAAATTCCGAGTTATGCGTATAGCCTAACTAGGTGGTTTACTATACGCCATGCAGTAGCATATCCTTTTAACTAATCTAGGAAGAACGGATCGACTATAGCTAGTATAGCACCTTATAATTCTCTATTAGCTTTTAGCTATTTATTATAGGCTATTTCGTGTGCATTAAGTGCAATTTACTTTTCCTTTATATATAGAATAAGCTTTCCTTCTATATCTTTTTACTGTATAATAGTATATATAAGCCTGTTGCTTTCTATAAGCTATTTACTATAGGCCCTGCTATTTATAAAGGCGCTTAGCTATAGCCTCTATTGCTTAATATTTATACTATTTTATTTTAGATATATAATTGGAAATATAGGTATTATAATAAAGGTAGAGGTATTAGTGTTTAAATATATTCTAGTGCTGCGGTGCACCCGTCGAATATAGGGCTCTGCTAAAGGCTTTTTATATTCGTAAGCTATAGGCAGAAAGCTTACTAGCGGAAGCTAGTAGGTGCTTATAACCTAAAAATAGTTGTAAAATAATACGTTAAACGGGTTAGGTAATATATTAAGTAAGGAACTATCTATTTTATATACGTAGTATATATACTGTGTATAGGTAGGCTTTATAAGCCGTATTGCTAGTTCTAGCTAGTTCTAGCTAGTTCTAGTACAGCTTTTTACTAAGTATACCGTATTACTAAAAGGGCTAAATATAGGATATAAACACGTACTCTATTACTATACAAGTCGGCTAGCTATATAGCTAGCTTTTCCGTTGCTATCTCTCTAGCTATAGAAAAGTAGGGTAGAAGGTTTATTTAGTGCAGGAACTATTATAAAACGGCCTTATTTCCCTTATAGTCTTTATATAGCTATATATACGTTCTTATTCTAGCCTTAAAAAATATATCGCTTCTACTATTACGGTGTCGTTTATAGTGTATTACTACGTGCTTTAGAAACTATAGTATATACCTATAAAGGCACGCAGGCGAAGGGTAATTAGGCACCCTTATATAGTGCAGGTATACGTTAAGCCCTATATATTCCGTTCGTAAAAGCGTAATAATTAAGCTTTCTGCTTTTATAAGCTTATAGTATTTAGTTGCCTAATTCTTATTCTATTTTATATTAAGGGCCGGTGTAAGAGGGCCCCTTCGTTTCTTCCTATAGGCCTCCTATTCGTCCCTCCACCTTTTCTCGTATACTTCCTATATTGCTCCTTATTTTAAAAGCTTATATAAGTTATCTAACTGCCTTTTATACCTCGGGGCTAGTACTATAGCCTTAACCGCGAGCCTCTTTAGTACGTTACGCCGGCTCGGCTTATATTTAGGCGTTTTCCTAGGCTTATAGTGTCTTCTAATAGTGTTTCTAATAGTGCGGCACGTGGTTTTAATATGCTCTCTAGCCTGGCCCGCGCGCGTGCGGTCCGCGTACGCCACCGCGAGTTCCTCTAGCTTAAGCCTTAGGGGGGGGTAAGAGGTCTCGTGTTTAAGCGTCTTAATATCTGTTGTCTTATACGCCCCTGCAATAGCACGGAGGAAGTAGTTCTAGGCCGTTTTAAGTTGTTTAATCTTCGCTTTGCTAATTTATTCCTTTATACCTAGCGTTGGAAACCAGGTAGTACACCTATATATAAGAACCGGCCTAATAACTGCTAAGTATATATACTATGCTTTTTAGAAGCTTGCGGCCTATATTAATACTATTAGCCGTGTAAGGGCTTCTATCTATACTATAGCCTTTTCCTTTATAATACGTATATGCGGGCCCTATTTAAGTTTAGAGTCTACCTAGACTTTAAGCACGCAGAGTTCTATAATTAGGCCCTTTATAAAGCCTTAGATATTTACTATAGCCTTTATATTTACCGTATTTAAATGGCGCCTTATAAAGTATATAAGGTAATACTTATCCGGGGTAAACACTATACTATGCTTCTTCGCCCACTCTATGCACCGTATATGCGCACTTTCGATTGCCCTGTAGTTCTCTTCCGTGCTTTTGCTAAATATAAGGATATTAGTGTTGTCTACGAACCCGTAGGCTGTTGTATTGCCTTTTTATAGTGCCGGCAGGAGTATACTAGTATATAGATAATAATAATCTTATAATCTATAGTAAACTAATTAAATTTAGGGTTAATATAGCTATTATAGCCGTTTAGTATAAGTATCTAATATATACTTATAGAATAGCTTTAGCTAAACTAAGCTAATTTTATTTATTATCTAGCTATTTTTACTAACGCTAATTAACTAGTTATATAGAATAAATTATTCTTATACTAAGCAGCCTAGTATATAATTGCTTCGAAGATAACTAGTAGTAGAATTGCTGCCCTTATTATATTAATACACTTAATAATTATAACCTATTTATAATTGCCTAGCTGTATAGTTCTAGGCCGGCTAGCTCTATCTATTTTAGTAATAACTTTCGAAGTTGTAATAATACCTATTTAAACGCTAGTTTTATTAAAATTCCAGGTATTTTTATCTAAAATACTATATTATATTTTAATATCTTAAACGCGTTTAAACTAGCCCTAAATAAGTATAGGATTTTTATATTTAGTATACTAGTAATTATACTTACAATTAAATTTTAATTATAGGTTATTATTGCGGTTAATATAAAGCCGTGCCTACTTCTCGCTAATAGGTTTTATATTCCTACGCTGCGTGGCTAAAACACTAGCTATCTCCTGTATAGTCGCGATTTTTAGCGGTATACTGCGTTAATCTATTAATAGAATCCACTGCTTAAGGACTTCTTTTTATACTTATATAAGACGGCGATTTAGTGCTGCTAAGCTACGTTTTAGCTAGATACTATTAACGCGTTACTATACTGTTATTCTATATATATTATACGTGCTAGTAACCTTTCGGAAACTTATAATTTAGCCTTATTTATAGGTATTAATAGATAGAAGAATTCTGCCCTTTTAATAAAGGGCCTTTTATTATTATAGTAGAGGTATTAAAGTTATAGTTATATTACGCGTCGCGTTTCCGGAGAATTTAATAGGGTAG